GGCACAGGGCCATTGGGTCCTCGCGGGGATCCAGCTGTGATGTCCTCATGGGGACCTGGCACAGCGTCATGGGGGTCCTCATGGGGATCCAGCTGTGATGTCCTCACGGGGACCCGGCACAGGGCCGTTGGGTCCTTGCGGGGATCCGGCTGTGACGTCCTTGCGGGGACCTGGCATGGGGCCGTGGGGTCCTCCCGGGGACCCGGCTGTGACGTCCTCGTGGGGACCTGGCACGGGGCCGTGGGGTCCTCGCGGGGACCCAGCTGTGACGTCCTCATGGAGACCTGGCACGAGGCCATGGGGTCCTCATGGGGACCTGGCTGTGACACCCTCGTGGAGACCCGGCACAGGGCTGTGGGGTCCTTGCAGGGATCTGGCTGTGACATCCTCGCAGGGACCTGACTCATGGTCATGGGGTCCTCACGGGGACCTGGCACAGGGTCGTGGGGTCCTCATGGGGATCCGGCTGTGATGTCCTTGTGGGGACCCGGCGTGGGGCTGTGATGTCCTCATGAGGACCTGGCACAGGGCCGTGGGGTCCTCATGGGGATCCAGCTATGATGTCCTCATGGGGACCTGGCTCAGGGCCATGGCATCCTCGCGGGGACCTGGCTCGGGGCTGTGGGGCCCTGGTGGGGACCCAGCTGTGACGTCCTCACGAGGACCTAGCTTGGGGCTGTGGTATCCTAACGTGCCTGTGACATCCTCACAGAGACCCAGCTCGGGGCCGTGGGGTCCTCACGGGGACCCAGCTGTGACGTTCTTGTGGGGACCTGGCACGGAGCCATGACGTCCTTGTGAGGACCCGGCTTGGGGCCATGGGTTCCTCGTGGGGATCCATCTGTGACGTCCTCACGGGGACCTAGCTTGGGGCTGTTGGGGTCCTCGCGGGGACCCAGCTCTTGGCCATGGGGTCCTCGCGGGGACCCAGCTCAGGGCCATTGGGGTCCTCGCGGGGATCTGGCTGTGACATCCTCGTGGGGACCCGTCTCGGGGCCATGGGGTCCACGTGGGGATCTAGCTTGGGGCTGTGATGTCCTAACGAGGATCCAGCTGTGACATCCTGGTGGGGACCCGTCTCGGGACCATGGTGTCCTCACAAGGATCCAGCTGTGACATCCTGGTGGGGACCCAGCATGGGGCCATGGTGTCCTAACGGGGATCCAGCTGTGACATCCTAGTGGGGACCCGTCTCGGGACCATGGTGTCCTCACAAGGATCCAGCTGTGACATCCTGGTGGGGACCC